ACCTGCATGACTGTATGCAGTAGGCTTGCTCCCTGCCCTCCAGGAGTTGATAGCTCATAGAGGGACAAAACTCATCTGTAGAGTTAATTAACAATACAAGGAATAAGCTGGTCCAGATGGGAAGGACTTCAGGAGCTCAGAGGATGGAGAAGTCACCATACTTGAACTGATTGGAGTGGGCCTAATGAAAGAAGTGAGACTGGAAGATGAATGAGGTTCAGATGGCCCAGGAAGAAGGGGACATATGAACCTGAGGTGGGGGCAGCATGAACAAGAGTGTGGAGGCAGGACTAAGCATGGGCACTCTAGGAGTAGCTGCTGTACATGCTCCTGCCCAGGTAGAGTGGAGGGTCTTGGTTGCTGGGCCTCTGGCTTACAGCCCACTGCCTAGCCCTATGGCACTCTCCAGGTGGTGTGCCCGGTGGTATACTGCAGCATTGTATACTGGATGACAGGCCAGCCAGCCGAGACCAGCCGCTTCCTGCTCTTCTCAGCCCTGGCCACTGCCACAGCCTTGGTGGCCCAGTCTTTGGGGCTGCTGATTGGAGCTGCCTCCAACTCTCTACAGGTGGGAAGGCTGACAGGTGGAGACCCTTGAGAGGGGAGGAAGCAGGGATGACATAAGGAGTGGGAGAGATCTACAGGAAACTCTGGGGCCACTCCAGTCCTGGGTCTGTCCTAGTCACCCTTGTGATGGCCTGGTCCCCTTGCCTCCCCTCCAGGTGGCCACGTTTGTGGGCCCAGTTACCGCCATCCCTGTCCTCTTGTTCTCCGGTTTCTTTGTCAGCTTCAAGACTATCCCCACTTACCTGCAATGGAGCTCCTACCTCTCCTATGTCAGGTTAGTGCATCTGCCCCTGCTCCTTCTTGTAGGAGGCCATGCCCCAAGGATGAGAAAGTTGCATCTGGGCTCTGGCAGTTTGCTTAGGGAGCAGTGACCCTACTCTATATCCTGCTCTGATGCTCCTGCTTGCCTAGGTATGGCTTTGAAGGTGTGATTCTGACTATCTACGGCATGGAACGAGGAGACCTGACCTGCTCGGAGGAGCGATGCCCTTTCCGGGAGCCACAGAGTATCCTCCGAGCACTGGATGTGGAGGATGCTAAGCTCTACATGGACTTCCTGGTCTTGGGCATCTTTTTCCTGGCCCTGAGGCTGCTGGCATACCTTGTGCTCCGGTATCGGGTCAAGTCGGAGAGATAGAGCCTTGCTCTGGCCTGCACCCCAACCCCCACAGCAGGAAGCCCCCAGCCCTTGGGGACTGTTTTAACCTTGTAGACTTGGGTACTGGTTGCTGGCACAGCCGTCCTCTACAAGCTGGCTGTTGGACTGTGCTCCCAGCCGCAGCGCTGGGAGTGGGGGCTCCAGCCCTTCTTGCTGTGCTCAGGAGTCTTCTCAAGTTGATATGGTTTGTAGTTTCCCCCCTTCTCTCTCCAACATCTGCATGCAAAGACCACTAGGAGGCTACCACCCTTCTTCCTGCCCTTGGCACCCTCCTCTGTTGTCTGCATAGGAGCCTCAGGCTCCCCAGGCCCCCACTTATAACTGACCAAAGTGGCCCAACCCGGGGGTCCTCACCACACAAGTGTTTGTAAATTGAGTTGTTACAAGGTTGGAGTTCCAGGGCTGGGCCCTGGTGGGGTCCCCTGGAAGTCCCATTTGGACGTTGGAATGGAGCAGGGAAGGACTCTGGAAGTCTCTCCCTCCTTCTCCCCACTCCCCATTTCCAGACCCTGGCTGATTTGGACAGTCTACAGGGACAGAAGCTGGGTTTTCTGTCTGGGTCATTCCTTCCCAATCCTGGGGATTGGAGAGGCCTGGGGCCATAGGATGCTGCTTCCTCTTTCCCATCACCTTTGGTAGGGGTAGGGCCTGGTAGCGCCTCTGCAATAATGTCTGTGTTTCTCTCCCATCTGCCACTGGAAGTAGAGAATGCACTTTATTCTAGGGAGTGAGTGGGAGAAGACCCAAGCCTCCTTTCTCACTGCTCTTGCCTCACGGTCCTCCAGTGCTTCCTTCCTTCTCCAAAGTTATAGGCACATACATGCGAACAGGCAATCTTAGCCCTACATACCCTCACTGTCCCCTATGGCTCAGAGGAAGAGTGATAGTGGTGTGGTGATGGTGATGGTGATGATGGTGGTGGTGGTGGTGGTGGTGGTGGTGGATGCTGCGGGGAGGGCAGTGCTAACCTCCTCCTGGGGGTCCTGCTTTGACTGTAAGGATGAGGCTGGTGCTGCCCAGGGCATCTTCTGAATCTGCAGATGTCTACCCCGCAGTCTTCCCTCCCTACCAACAAGGGATGGCACAAGACACTAGCTCCCTGGAGTTCAGGACCTAACACAAGCACAAGCATAGGCATAAGTTGGCCTTGGCCACTGCAACCCCATGGCCCTTCTTTCGTGCGTCAAGCTGGCATTCTTACTCCTCCACCCCTTCCCCAGCCACTTGCTGCTCATTCAAACTCCTGTCCATGTCTCTCTACCCTCTTCTCATCAGCCAAGGTGGCCCATGGGTATTCCCTAGGCAGCATGCCCTGGCCGTCAGGGTGACAGACGTACCTGGAGCATGTCTGGCTTTCCTAGTGGGTCCAGGCTCATTCTACTTCTGATTTTTCCTTCCCCCAGGGCTCTTTTCAATCCTTATTCCTGGGTGCATACCTCTCTACTTTCCCTTTCCCTGCCATGGATTCTCGCCATCACACAGAGATGCCAGTTGTATTTGTGGGATTTCACCCATTATTAATAAAACCTATATTTATACAGTATACAGTGTGTAAAAGTGTATGGGTCTGGCAGTTGGCACCGTGGGCTGTGAGGGGGTCTTCAAAGCACTTGGCAAAAAGTCTGTGAGCTTTAGGGAGCCTGTGGTAGGGGAGGGTAAGTCCTAGGTATATGTCAAGTTACTGAATGTGTATTTTATGAAATATCTGTATTATGCTTTACATCTTACAAATACTTCATGTTTATTATCTCAAGAAAGTCTCATGTCAACCCTGCATTATCCCTCATGACAACCTACTTTGCAGATGAGAGAATTGAGACTTGGGTTAAGTCACTTGTCCAAGGACCCTTACCTAATAGAGGTAGAACCAGGCCTGGGAATCAGGTCTTCTGCCCTCAGACTCTTCATTCTTGATATTTGCCAATGACACTGTTTATGGTGGATCTGCAGGTGGATCTGCACTGTTTATGGGCGTGTTCTTAAGGGAGTGATACATGACTTTCTCTTCAGAACTCACTGAGCCCTGATTGTGCCTATGAGGAGGTGGGTGAGGGCTGGGGTTAGCAGTCCTGAAGGGCAATGAGAAGTAGGAAAACCCCTGCAACCTAAGCTCTAGGTCGAGAGTGGCAGGGAACTCACTGACTCACCCGAGCTTTCCTCTTCTCTTTCTCTCTTCTTACCTATTGGGCCACATTTATCAGGGCCAAGCCATCAGCCACCAGGACTGCAGATAGGTCTGGTAGCCTGAGGTTTAGAGTAGGCAATTGTTCAGAAGTCCTTGAGGGACCCAAGAAGCAGCATATTGTCTCATCCTCTTCTGTTCTGATCCTGAAGCCCAGGGACTGAAGAAAGGGACTGGTGTCAACCTTGTCAGCTGCCTGGAACACTTTAATTGTGCCATGTGTGGAGCTAAGCGCTCCAAACTAGATTTGAGTCCATTCTCTGATTAGGTGCTTTTCTGGAGATGAGCTGAGTTTGTTTCTTATGGGGGTTGGGAGTAGGAGTAGGAAATGGAAAGAAGTCTAACTCCTGAGATTCTAGCTAGCTTTAGGGGGCATTCTGGGTGCCATCTTCTCCCAGCAGTAATGCCAGTATATGGCTCCTTATGGTGGCACAAAATTCTTAAGACTCTTCATCTTTACTCTTTCTCTTTTAAAATGCAAACACTCCTGGAAGACTAAAACATTTATAAATTCACACATTTGTAAGTTCCCCTGGGAACTAAGGAAATGAACAGCTAATCTGGAGCCAGCAAAGGCCATTCAGGCACAGAGAATAGTTGTAGAGTGACTCACATATTTTCGAAGAAAGCTCTTTTGATTCTTACAGCAACCCCAAGAGGCTACTAGGATGAGTATTATCATTTTGTCCTTTTACAGAGAAAGAAACCCAAGGCTTGGATAAGTGACTTGAGCAAACTCTCAAGATATGGTGCTTTCGCCACTATGAAGCACCTGTAATTTGTCCCACTAGTGCCAGCAACCTGCACAGGTGGGGTATAAATACTTCCTGCCCAACCAGGCAGGTTTTGAAATGGACCCATTTACCTTGAGTACCAACCTTCCTGGACTTGGAGATCATCTTAAATGTAGCCACCTCTGTATCAGAGCCTGTGCAAGGTGTTGAAGAGCAGAAATGACCAAGACTATTCTCCATGTGATGGCTGTACAGCACCTGGCATCCTATCTTGAGGTCAGATGATAGAACACATGCTCACAGCATGACTCACAGTACTTCAGTCTGCAAGAGGCTAGTCAAATTAAATGTTATTAATAAAGCCTACAAGACTGTCATAACGGCTAAGAGTTGGGGGAGGGGAACAGCTTGCTCTGAGCTGTGCCCAGTAACTGCAGCTGGGGGCTTGTCTGCTTCTCATGACTAGATAAGTAAAGTGAAGCTAAATGAGACCTCAGGCCCAAAATGGGCCTCTGGTCACCCCTGAGACCATATTCATAGGGTTGCTCTACTTCCCCCAATTCCTTTCTACTCCCCCTTCAGAACTTCTCTTGAAAGGCAAATTTGCCATTTTCCTTGCTGCTTGGAATGCCCTTCTCTTCCCTAACTTATTTTTTATGATCCAGTTCAAATGTTACCTCTTCTGCCAGAGGCAGTTAGTAACTTCCTCTCCCAGGTTCTCCTAAGCCTTCTGTCTCTGAAGTACTATCATTTGGGCCTCGTGGAGGGGAGCTGCTATGGGCTGGTTCCTGAATGCCTTGTTCTAGTTGTTCAGTAGTACCCCAATACCATGTGTTCAGTGAATGAACAAATGTATAAATGACATATCAACAGTCTTCAGTTTGGTTGGAGAGTAGAGATCACATAGCCCTCTTCCCAACCCGGTGGAACTCTATGCGTTCCCTGTTGCACAGCTCTGTTCAGTGCACATTGCACACCATGTTTGCATGTGGAGGCATGCCCTGGCTGTGGGTGGTGGGTGGCTCCTCCATCAGCTACATTGGAAGCAGAGGGATGGGGGTGGAGGCTTTGAGGACCAGGAAGCCCAGGGCTAGGCCCTGATTGAGCACCAGACAAGAAGAGCAGGTTGGGGTGGGAACTGTTTCTCAGGCCCCATTCTTTCTGCTTCCTTGACTAAAGAAGTGACCAGAAGCTGTACACAGAGGTCTGGAGTCTGAAGAGAGCCAGGTACAGAAGAAAGGACCCAAGAAGGCCCTGACTCAGATCTCTGCCAGGAGGTTGGCTGAGGAGTTAAAGAGGCAAGCAGAGGGAATAATAATCTGGGAATGGGTAGGTGCCTCAGGGAAGCCCAGGGGTGAGGTAGGAAGATCCAGGCCCGGGATTCCAGTTCTGGCTCTGTCGCTTCCAAATTGGATCATCCTGCTCGAGTCGCTTCACCTTTCCAAACTGCAGTTCCTCCTTCTGTAAAATGGGCATTACAACAACTCTCGACTGAGAGGTGGTCAGTGAGGTAATTGGAAAGGACTGGCGTTTGGTAACCTGCAGAGGGCAGTCCTAGAGGCGGGGCCCGCCGGGATTGAACGCTGTACTCACGGAAGGCGGGAGCGACGCAGGAACAGATGGGGAAGAAGTAAGTCTCCGCCCCGAGCCTGCTCTCCCGGGCACTCGGCCCCTCTCTCTGTCCCCCTTCTCCCAGGACCCCGAGGACCCCGAGCGCCTGGGTTCGTTCTCTCCCGTACCCGCTGCCGGGGCCGGATGCCAGGGCGGGCAGGCAAGAAGCGCCGCGCTGGGGCCTCTGGGAGCAAGCGGGAGACGCCGGCAGTCAACCGACTCCTGGGCCTGGGCAGCCTTGGGTAAAAAAGCCTAGTCAGCTGGATCTCCCCTCGCCCTGGGCGGGACTGCAGCGCGGAGCCTGGCAGGGCCGGGACGCGGCGGGGCGGAGGTTGGGGGGTGGAGCGGTGCTACGCAAGTAAGGCGGGGAGTTCGCGACCCGGACGAGTAGGACGCAGCTGGTGCGCTGAGTGGTGGGCTTTCTGGCACGCTCCCCCGTGGGTTCTGAAGCCAACTGGAACTAGAAGAGCTGTTTGGGACTTAGTTTGGGGGGAGGAGCACTGGGCTTGTGGGAGCACAGCCCTTGTACTTTTCCTGCTGTGCCTTCTTTTTTACTGCCGCGTTGACCTGGGGTGATCTTGGAAGCGTTGGCCTCACCACCACCCCATTCCCTCCGTGAGTCCTTTCTTGGGCTAGTGGCCCTGGATATGATTTAATTGCACTGAGCTGGTTTCCCCAAGCTTCATCAGCTTTCCAGGGCTCTCTCTTAATCCTCCAGTCCTTGGGACTCCTGCTCAGAGTGCCAGCTTGCCCTTTCACTGGTTGGCCCTGCTAGCAGGTGAGCCCAGCAGACCCAGTTCTCCCTAAGTATGCCCTGCCCAGTAAGGAGCCACATCTCTAGAGACCAGGTGCCAAGTAGCACACTTCACTAAAGGGAGCTCAGAGAGATCAGGAAAGACTTCCCAGGAGAGAGGACCTTAGAGCAGGGTCTTAGGAGGTTGGGTATGATTCTTTCACAGGGAAGAATGGTCATTCCAATCTGAATAAAGCATAGGAACAAAGTTAGGAAACCGAGCAAGAATTCAGTGAGCCTGACTAATGAGATGTGGGTCAGGGCAAACTCATAAAAATTAGCTCGTGTGAGCCAGATGTTTGGACTGTACATGTAACCTAGGACTTTAGGGAGGTGATTGGTGGCTTAAATGAAGGATTGGAATGGGATAAGACTGAAGACAGAGACCAGTGAGGAGAAGAGAGTCCCCGGAAGTCCGCAGAGGGTATGAGCACAGGGACAGCAGGGACAATGCAATAGGAACAGGCTGCCAAAGCACAGACAGGAGGAATCTGTAGGACTGTTCCAACTGTGAAGGAGGGAGGAAGGATTGAAGACAAAAGTCAGATTTCTAATCCTGTGATTGGGAAGATTGCAGTGAAGTAACTAAAAGGGGAGGGGAATGGTGAGTTCAGTTTTACATGTGAAAAGCTTGAAACCAAGGCAGGATATCCATATATCAAGTAGGAAGTCCATTCATTTATTTATTACTTATGCCTGCCTCAAAGGCAGCTTACATAAAAGTCACAGAGAAACTAAAATGATAAAACTGTTAAAACTCAGCTAAAAGGACCTGATAGCTAGGGAAAAAAAGCAAAGGAGAGTGGATAATTATTACTGGAAGATGTTGGCTCCAGAAAGCCACTGAAAATGAACGTAGGACTCATCTGAGCTTTCTGGCAGCCAAACAAAAAAAAAAGGATACCTAGGTAAAGGAGTACTCTAGGCTGGAACTCAGGAGAAAAGTTTCCCAAAGCCTCAGGGGAGAGGCAATAGGTAATAGGTTGGTATCAGATAAGCCGCAGATCTTACCATAGCGGCCCACATACTCAGGTCGGGGATCATTCAGATGGGGGATATAGGAGAGGAGGCGATCTGAAGGCCAAGCCAGGGCTTTGGCATTGCTGACTTAAGGAAAGTCTGATGCTCTCCCGAGGAGAGCCTTGCATAGGAAGGTAGGTGTGGGGAAGTGTTTGGGTGTGTGTGGTCCATTTATACCATTCTTCTTTCAGAGGAACAGGATAGAAGGTGGTGTGTTATGTCCCCTGGGCTCTGACCTTCTCTCCTACCATGAGGTGGAGCCGCCCTTTGCCCAGGGCCTTTTGGGGCCCTGGTCTGGGAAGAGCACTCCAGCCATCAGGTAAGCGGGAAGCAGGAGTTTCTGTTTCTACCTTTCCCTTCCTCTTCATAGTCCAGATGGTGCCTCCCAAGAGGGCAAGGATCCAGACACCTGATGTGCTAGTCTCAGCTCTATGATTCACTAGCTGTTGGCCTTGGGCAGGTCACCTTATCTCTCTGAACTTTTTTTCCCATCCTAAAATAAGGAAGTCAGACTAGGTGATTTTCAAGAGTCCCTGTAGCTATATAAGTCCAGGAACACTGGTCTGATTTCATTTTGTATTCAACAAATATTTTTGGAGTGCCTGCTATGTGCCAGACCCTGTGCTAAGTTAAGTTCTAAGTATATAATTGTGAATAAAAACAAATGTGATCCTGCACTCACGGTGGGAGAAATGGAAATAAATGTTAATAAAATAATCACATAAAATATAAAATTGCATAATAATGGCTACAAAGGGACAGTATATGATACTATGAAAGCAAATAATGGAAAATTTGATGCAGACATGGGATCTGTGTGTTGATGAGGAAATCTGGACGGGATCTGGATGCTGTTTCTTCTCTTTTCTCTCTGTAGATGAACGCATCCCTTTCCTGATCCACTGGAATTGGGCCCTTAAAGGGGAGTGTCCCCTGGGCCCCCCTAGGTGAGACCTTGGTGTCATACCTTAGAACACATCTGAGCACAGCAGAGTAGCCTGAAAAGAATCAAGACTTGGAGAGAGCTGGATCTCTTGGGGGGGGAGGTTGGTCTCCTGGAGTGGGAAGGGTACAGTCAACTACCAGGCTTAAGAGGAAGTTGGCTTACATCATCTACAGTATAAGTCATAGTTGTCAGCCAGTGGGAGGATCTATGGGAAGTGGGTGGGGTCTGGCAGTGAGCAGCCTGAGTGCTAGACAGGCAGTGATGGAAGGCCGAAGGGCTACGGATGAGACCTTAGTCCCTGAGAAGGATGTAAGCATCAGAGAGTCTCAACTTGGGTGTTCAGGATTGGGTCTGGATCTCAGCCAGAAGTTCATCAATCCAGAGAGGCTTGGAATCTGAGCCTGTAGCCAAGCCCCAGCTCATCCCTTCTCCTTGCTCCTAGGGCCTTTCTACGCCACCATGGAAGCTCAGTGGGCAGTGGTCCCCCATCAGGGAGGCATAAACAGTTGTTCTGGAGCACCTCTGCAACTGGTAAAGAGATTGGTTCTTCAGTTAGCCTAGGGAGAGGGGCTGGCTGGGATCTCAGTGGGAGGTGGGATGGAGAGAGGGTCCTGGGGGGAGAAGCAGGCAGGAAGAAGGAGCCACAGAGGACTCACTGCCATCACCCATCAATGGGCTCACCCTCCTTCACCCTATCATCAATATGTCCATATATCCCTTCCTATAACACTCATGCAATGCACACGTACTGTGTACAAAGTCTTGGGAGAGATTTACTATCCCTACCATCAAAACACTGGGTCTAGAAGTCAAGCGAAGATTGCACGTAGATATAACAGGGAAATCAGTCGACTCAGGCTCAGCATCACTCATCCCATGGTTCCCCACTTTCTGCCTCAGTGGTTCCAAACTTTTGGACACTCTATATTTTCTGAGGGAATCCTGTGTGCCTAGCACCATTTTGGGCCCCAGCATCTCCTGGTGCTGTCTTGACTCTGCAGCCTGACCCTACTACTACCCTGACTGGCTCTAAGCTCTTACATCTCCTGGCCCCTTTCCCTGACCCATTATCTTTGCCTTCCCATCCAGAAGCCATACAGCGGCATCGCCGGAACCTGGCTGAGTGGTTCAGTCGGCTTCCCAGGGAAGAGCGCCAGTTTGGCCCGACCTTTGCACTAGACACAGTCCATGTGGACCCTGTGATCCGTGAGTGCACCCCCGATGAGCTGCTTCGCCCACCTTCGGTGCTGGCCCTGGAACACCAATTGCCCCCAGCCAGGCTTCCTACCCTGGCCCTGTCTCAACTCTTTGACCCAGATGCCTGTGGGCGCCGGGTGCAGACAGTAGTTCTGTATGGGACGGTGGGCACAGGCAAGAGCACACTGGTGCGAAAGATGGTCTTGGACTGGTGTTATGGGCGGCTGCCAGCCTTCGAGCTGCTCATCCCCTTCTCCTGCGAGGACCTGTCATCCCTGGGCCCTGCCCCTGCCTCCTTGTGCCAACTTGTGGCCCAGCGCTACGTGCCCCTGAAAGAGATTCTGCCCCTGATGGCCGCCACTGGGTCCCGCCTACTCTTTGTGCTCCATGGCTTGGAGCATCTCAATCTCGACTTCCGGCTGGCAGGCACAGGGCTTTGCAGTAACCCTGAACAGCCAGAGGTGCCAGCTGCGATTATAGTCAATCTGCTGCGGAAATACATGCTGCCTGAGGTAGGTTGTCCCCTGCCTCTCCCTGCCACCTCTGCCCCTGATTTGCCACCTAAAGATTTTTGTGTCCTGGGCCCTCATGTTTATTGGGTAGGAGTATAGGCCCTGGGTTAGTTCAAATCGTGACCCCTCCACTTCCCAACTGTGTGTCTTTGAACAAGTCACTAATTTCCCCAAGCTTCTGTTTCTTTCTCTCCTTGAGTTGTAATGATCAAATGAGATAACTGCATACAAACTGCTTGACACAGTGACTTGGCTCATAGTAGGTGCTTAGTGATTGTTAGTTATAATTTTTATCATCTTCATCCTTGAACACTAAATCTTCAGGTTCTCCGTAGGGAGTGAGGCAGTCAGGATATCAAGGTCTTTCTTAACCCTCAAACATGTTCTTCCCAGGCCAGCATTCTGGTGACCACCCGGCCCTCTGCCATTGGCCGTATCCCCAGCAAGTATGTGGGCCGCTATGGTGAGATCTGCGGCTTCTCTGATACCAACCTGCAGAAACTCTATTTCCAGCTCCGCCTCAATCAGCCAGACTGCGGGCACAGTGCTGGGGGTGCAGGTGTTTCAGCCACACCAGCTCAGCGTGACAACCTGGTAGAGATGCTCTCTAGGAACCTGGAAGGGCACCACCAGATCGCTGCTGCTTGCTTCCTGCCCTCTTATTGTTGGCTTGTCTGTGCCACCTTGCACTTCCTGCATGCCCCCACGCCAGCTGGCCAAACCCTCACAAGCATCTATACCAGCTTCCTGCGTCTAAACTTCAGTGGGGAGATGCTAGACAGCACTGACCCCTCCAAGTTGTCCCTGATGGCCTATGCAGCCCGAACCATGGGTAAGTTGGCCTATGAGGGGGTATCTTCTCGTAAGACTTACTTCTCTGAAGAGGATGTCCATGGCTGCCTGGAAGCTGGCATCAGGACAGAAGAGGAGTTTCAGCTGCTACATGTCTTCCGCCGGGATGCCCTGAGATTTTTTCTAGCCCCATGCGTGGAGCCGGGGCACCTGGGCACCTTTGTGTTCACTGTACCTGCCATGCAGGAATACCTGGCTGCCCTCTACATTGTGTTAGGTTTGCGTAAGACAACTCTGCAGCAAGTGGGCAAGGAATTGGCTGAGCTTGTGGGCCGTGTCGGGGAGGACGTCAGCCTGGTCCTGGGCATCGTGGCCAAGTTGCTGCCCCTGCGGGCCCTGCCTCTACTCTTCAACTTGCTTAAGGTAACAACCCAGGACCCCAGGCTATCAGCCTCCTGCTCCCCATTCACCCCTTCCTCCTCTCCCAGAAGAAAACTACTTCATACATAGCTGTGAATCTTCTTCTTGGTTCTGGTTTTAGATTTGGGCAATCTGGATTTTAGTAGGATTGGCGTATGAGGAAGGGAGAGAGAGAAACCAAAAGGTTGGGGAAGGCTTGGATGCTGTGAATTTGAGGGTTTGGGGACTTTAATAATAATCTTACAACCCTAATATGGTTTTCTTTTGCAGCTCTCCTAGTCTTTGTTGCTAGGAGGCAGGAGTCACTATAGTTCAGGGTCCATCCTCTGCTTTGCAGGTCCAGACACTCAATTGTATCTGTTCCCCTAGAGGTGATTAGACTCTGGGAGTGATGACTCATCCTAACTGAATCAACAGAGACAGGTTTATAAAGCAGATGCCATTTTATTAATTTATACCAGGAGAATAAATGCACTGGTAATTGGCTTAGGACAGTCTGTCTGGGGTGCAGGTCCACTCCAGAAACCAAATTACAGGCCTGAGAACTGCTATGAGCAGAGTGGCTATGCTAAGTTTTTAAGGAGAAGAAGGATCCAGTCTCTGCTGATGTCTGCCAGGTGCCTTATAAATGAAATACTATTATGATCCTTTTTACAAATGAGGAACCTGAGGCGCACAGAGGCTAAGGAACTTGTCTAAGATCACTTGGATAGTAAATAGAATAGCTGGGATCTGAGTCCAGGTTTCATGATTCTGAATCCTGTGCTTTTTGTGCCAAACTTTACTGATACTTTGTGGATATTACTGTTAAGCTATGGCACCTTGCTAGGTAACCCTTGTCCTCTCTAGGAATGTTTTAGCAACTGGTCTTGAGGAGGCAGAGCCATGGTCGGTGCTGGCAAAATTTCAACAAGTTTTCCTTTTCATAGGTAGCAAAGCATAAGGGTTAAGAATGAGGATTCAGTGATGCAGCTACCTGGGTTCAAATCCAGGCTCTACCACTTAACTAGCTGTGTGACCTTGGACAGGTTGCTTAATCTCTCTGGATTTCAGGCTCCTTATCTCTTAAATAGGAATAATAATAGAATCAATAATCATTGGCCTAATAGGAGGATTAAATGTATTCATCCTCAGGGCCTGGCACCTAGTAAGTGCTATTTAATTGTTAAAAATAAAAATAGGCTCAGGCAGCCCACCCCTTCTCACACTATTGCCTCTGACGGGGAGGTAATGGCCATTGCTTAGGCCACCCCACCCCTTCGAGGATGTGCTTGCCTTATCTGAATTGCAATGAGAGGTTGTGGTCTCCTGATGGGATCCGGAAAGCCCCTCCATTCTTCGATAGTGTACCAGAATTGTTAGCACCATGGACTCCCAAGCCCTCTCCAAGGGAGGGTTGCCTAGCCAAGGACTGGTCCCATCTACTTCTTCCTGCTCCTATTGATGCATCTTCCCAGGGTGACATTTTTCTCACTCCATCCCCAGATGAATGTTGGGGGAGGGGCACTAAAACATCCACAGCAGGAACTTCACCTATAAAAAGAAAAAAACAAAACCAAACATTGGAGGAGGCACCGCAAAACAATCTCGTGGCCTACTGCCAGAGGAAGAGATCCCTCTTTTCTTTTTAGAACCATTGCAAGGACAGGCGATGATGTTGCAAACCTCCCAAACATTCATTTCTTCAACAAATATTTGAGTGCCTGCTATGAGCCAGGCAGTGTGTTAGATCTTGAGGAAAAAACAACAAAACCCAGGTTTCTGCCTTTTTGTTGGTACAGTCTGAACACAAACATGTCAGGTTAACTTTGTAATTAAAAAGTATGGTAAATGCCTGGAAAGCAAAGTTTCAGGTGCTGAGTGTATAATGTGGCACCTGGGTTGGCGGAATAAGGAAAGCCTCTGGGCAGGAATCGCATTTAGTCTGATTCCTGGAGGATTAGCCAGGAGGAGAATTGGGAGTTAAACACCTCAGGAAAAGTATACAGCTTTGAAGGAGGAGAAACCTTGGCACTGTTATAAAAGAGAAAGAGGGAGCGAGCTGCAAGGACAGAAGCAGAGTGAGGATGAGAGGCCTGTGAAGACACTGTGGTCGGCAGAGACCAAATGTTGCAGGGTCTTGAACTAGTAGGAGTGAATTCAGTCATCATTGTTCAGATAATGATGTGAAGGTGGTGATGTATTTATAACACCTAGCCTGGTTCCAAACTAACTGAATAATATATGCTAATTCCTTCCCACCACCTCCTGGGCTTGAAAATGTATGGGGTGTTTGGGAAAAACAAAGAATTTATGTCTGAAGTTCATGAGACAAGTGTTGAAGGATGACTCTGAAAAGATCAAATCAGGGCCAAATTATGAAGTTTTATATTTTGCACAGGCAGTGGCAAGCCAGAGAAGGTGTTGCAGCAGGGAAGTAAATAAATCATGCTGTGAGTTCAAGAGACAATACAAGGCTGGAGCAGTAGGGGAACATGTACCTTAAGCTGAGCCGAGAAGGCTGAGCAGGCATGTGAAGCTGAGCAGGCACGTGGGAAGCTGCGGTGCCTTTCCCTTGCTTCCTTTCCCAGGTGGTTCCACGAGTGTTTGGGCGCATGGTGGGTAAAAGCCGTGAAGCGGTGGCCCAGGCCATGGTGCTGGAGATGTTCCGAGAGGAGGATTACTACAATGATGACGTCTTGGACCAGATGGGTGCCAGTATCCTGGGTGTGGAGGGCCCCCGGCGCCACCCAGATGAACCCCCTGAGGATGAGGTGTTTGAGCTTTTCCCCATGTTCATGGGAGGGCTTCTCTCTGCTCACAATCGAGCCGTGCTGGCTCAGCTTGGCTGCCCCATCAAGAACCTGGATGCCCTGGAGAATGCCCAGGCTATCAAGAAGAAGCTGGGCAAGCTGGGACGGCAGGTGCTGCCCCCCTCGGAGCTTCTTGACCACCTCTTCTTCCATTACGAGTTCCAGAATCAGCGTTTTTCTGCTGAGGTGCTCAGCTCCCTGCGCCAGCTCAACCTGGCGGGTGTGCGCATGACACCCCTCAAATGCACAGTGGTGGCAACTGTACTGGGCAGTGGAAGGCATGCTCTGGATGAAGTGAACTTGGCTTCCTGCCAGCTGGACCCTGCTGGGATACGCACACTCATGCCTGTCTTCCTACGTGCCCGGAAGCTGGGGTGAGGACCTCATGCACAGGCATGAAGAAAGGAGAGGGTTGGAGGTGAAGAGGTGAGAAGAGAAGGTGCTAGGGAAACCAAAGGTACTGAGGAAAGACCAAGGGGTGGGATGGAGAAGTCTAGTATGGGTGGAGGTGACAGAGCAACAGAAGGGAGGGCAGTGTGGACTGCAAGAAGCAGGATGGTGAGAAAGGGGCCCAGTGAGTGGGCAAGCTCCATGCTGAACTCCTTCCTTGGTTTCTCACCTCCCCTCTGGCACCTTCTGCTCCAGTTTGCAACTCAACAGCCTGGGCCCTGAGGCCTGCAGAGACCTCCGAGACCTGCTGCTGCATGACCAGTGCCAAATTACCACCCTGCGGTGAGTGCCCTGGGAGTGGGCTGGAAGGAGGCTTTGGGCATTCTGATGGCCAGCTAAGGTCAAGGATGTGCCCCTTGACTCAGTATGCCTGGCACAGGCCCACCCATGGTGTAGTACAGGGGGTAGGAGTCTTGTCCCGTCCTGCCCCTAGGTCCAGTACAAGCAGTAGGGCGAGGGGGGTGGGGTGAGATGCTACCAGCAACAGGTGCTAAGAAAGCCTCTCATGTGGCTAAAATTAGCCTGGGGGAGAGTTGGGGGTGGAATAATACCCAGCCTGGTTGCCTGGTAACAGTGTCACTGATCTCCTCCCAGGATTTTCCCTATACCTCACAAGGATACCCCTAATGATGGGCACTCAATAGATGCTCCTAAAGTATTGACTGGTTTACTTGGAACTCAAACTTCTGGGTTCCCATTTTCTGGTTAGAATAAGGGAGGTGAATGAGGAGAGAATAAGGGAGGGTGATAAGGATGGGGCGTCAGGGTCTGGGGAGGAGGTGAGACAAGGAGGAAGAAAGGAAATGGTAACAATGAAAAGGAAGAGGAGAAGGGAATCAATAAAGGAGAATGGAAGGAGAGAGATGAGAGGAGAAGCCAGCTTCCACCCCATTTTCCCTCTGCAGTGTACCACACTGCTATTCCTCCATCCTTTTCTCCTAGATCTACATTTCTCTGAGTCCAGGCTGGTTTCTGCCCCAGGCTGTGTATACCCTTTTGGCCCAAGCACAGGGTGTCTGCCATGGGCCCTTGTAACATTGGGGTGCTTGTGGCCGTAGGCTGTCCAACAATCCACTGACGGCAGCAGGTGTGGCCTTGCTGGTAGAGGGGCTAGCGAGAAACACCTCTCTGACACACCTGTCCCTGCTACACACGGGCCTTGGAGATGAGGGCCTGGTGCTGCTGGCTGCCCAGCTGGAGCGTAACCAACAGCTACAGGAGCTGAACGTGGCCTACAATGGCGCAGGTGACACAGCGGCCCTGGCTCTGGCCAAGGCTGCCCGGGAGCATCCCTCTCTGGAGCTGCTGCAGTGAGTCTTGTCACTCGCTGGTTATTGCCTTTCCCCAGCCTGGCTCTGTTCTGCAGCCTCAGTTTTCCTTCCCTCTCTCCACTGTGCTTTTTCTACTCTAGGGGGCGGGCCTGGGCCTGTCCTGTCTTCCTGGCTTCTGACTTGATGCTTGTCAACCTGCTTCTGTGCCAACCCACCCTCTGTGATTAGCCCTTACCCTACCCTGATTTTCTACCACCATTTTCTCCTATGGTCCTGGTGGCCCCCACTCCTACTGTCCCCGGTCCCACTAAATTCTAGTGTCATCCCTGTTTCCCATTGGTCACCACCCTCCATCTTTGGCTTATTGCAGACACACCCCATTACATTCCATAGCCAGGGTCTGAGTTGTGAAACCCCCTCACTCTTTGTCCACCCACCACCCTCTACCCCTCCTTCTCAGAACCTTGCTGAATGACACCTACTCTTCTCTCTCCTGCTAGCCTCTACTTCAATGAGCTGAGCTCAGAGGGCCGCCAGGTCCTGCGAGACTTGGGGAGCACTGCTGAAGGCAGTGCCCGAGTAGTGGTATCGCTGACAGAGGGGACAGCAGTGTCCGAGTACTCGTCGGTGATTCTCAATGAAGTCCAGCGGAACCTCAGCAGCTGGGATCGGGGCCGGGTCCAGCGCCACCTTGAGCTACTGCTGCGGGATCTGGAAGATAACCGAGGAGCCACCCTTAATCCTTGGCGCAAGGCCCAGCTGCTTCGAGTGGAGGGCGAGGTCAGGGCCCTCCTGGAACAGTTGGGAGGCTCTGGAAGCTGAGATAGTGGCAGCAGGCACCTAGCCGTGTGACCCCTGGCCCCAAGCCCTTTCCCTCTGTGGCCTCCTGGCTTGTACTGCTACTTCTAGAAAGATCCCTTCGGGGCCGGAGGCAAAAGAATGGGCACAGCTGTGCCAGCGGTCCTCCTGGAACATGTCCAGCCAGTGCTCCCAAGTCAGGAATTTCCAGGGTCATGGAACATGTCTCCTTTCCCTTGGGCTAGAAGGACCAGAGGATATGGCGTTTTGGTAGCCAAATTGCCCTGTAGCACCACCACCAACCTTGCCTCTCTCTCTTCTCAAGGAGCCTCTGTGCCACCAGGGGGTACACTTCTTAGTCTGCCTTGCCAGGGGTGTCGCTGTCTAGTTGTGTCGGAGGGCTTCTACCTCCTGCTTTTATGCTTTCTGTGGACCCTGAGTGACCCGTAGCCACTTGCTCCTCAGCCTCATGCTCCCCTTACCACAATGGTACCCATGCTCAGTGGCCCTGAGAGGCATGTGTGCCAATTGGTGCTATTAAAAAACTGTGTCTTCCACCTAACTGTGGCCTCTTCCTTGCCTGGTGCTTTCAAGAAAGGGTACTTTCTTGGTCATTCTGGTTAAACTACTGACCACTTTTTGTTACAGGTGGTTCTTAGGTACTAGGTTCAGAAACAGTGAGGGCTGGGGGTACCCATGAAGAAGATACTGGTGTATGAGTCTGCCATGCGGGGCTGTAGGACTTCTGTCACCCTGTTCATACGTACTTAGCCCAGGCTTGGACAGTCTACTTTCCTCTGCACATATGGGGCGCTGGGACAGCAGCAGAGTCTCCGGAGGAGTTGGGGCCCAGGGATTGAGGCAGGAGGAACATGCATGCTTCCCCAGGGTTAAGACTCTCCTCTGTTAACCATTACCCCACTGCTTCCAAGGCAGCGTCTTCAAGGAGGCGGGACGTGGGGGCGTAAGTGGGAGGGTCAGCTGGTTTAGATGGACCTTGTCCCTATCCTGAGCACTAAGTCCTTGATCCAACTATGGAGTCAGCCACAGGTAGGAGGCCGGGAGAAATCCCCTGGAGGGAACTTTAGGGCTGTCAGAGGGCAGATTGGGAGGCTGAGGTTTTAGGACCAGGTTTTAGGGCTTGGAGCCTTGATGCAAATAGACTGGAATTCAGGAGAGGAGGTGAGTTGATATGTTAGTTTTCCTGGTCCACGCCCTGTACTGATATGCTCAGATTTCTGCCCCATGACCTGGGGGGAGGGGAAGAAAGGGGAAGGGAAGACCCTTTTGGAGCAAAACAGAGGGGTAAGTCCTGAGTTTGTGGGTTCCCCTAAGTTCTTTGAGTTAATGACCATGGAAGAGGGGTTTGGGGAGGGGTATAATGCACCTCTCTTCCCCTCACCCCCTTGCCCAGCAGATCTCCAGGACATGTCCTCATTAACTCTGTAAGTAGTATACTATGAATGGTTGGGGCAAGGGGAGGAGGGACTTGAGGGTGAGGAAGCTCTTCAGCTGCAATTAGAACCTCAAGTAGAGTTGGGGACCTCCTTGCAGGAAGTTTGAGTTTAACCCGAAGCTGGGCATTGATAATCCTGTCCTGTCCCTGGCTGAAGACCAAGACCCCTCTGGTAACTCCCTCACTGCCTGGGCAACCATTCCCCTTCCCCAGAGGCATCAGGGTTCCATGCACTACTCCCATCTCCTTGGTAACCACTCACTCTGTCTCCCTCTGAAAACAGCCTTGGTTGGTAATAACTGTGGGGCAGAGGAGGGGGCCAGGCATTTCCTTCTATCCTAGCCACTCTGCCCACACAGTGTTTGGCTCCACTGCCCAACACCCACATGGTGCTCTATCAAGGGGGCAGGATCTGCCAGGCACAAGTTGACTTGTACTTGGGCCACATTCCTCCTCCTCCACCTTTTGTGCTGCCTACCTCCCCCTCCAGATCTCTGGAGCTTGGAGCGGCCTCGATTCTGTCTGCTAAGCAAAGAGAAGGGCAGGAGTTTTGGCTTCCACATACAGCAGGAGCTGGGCAGGGCCAGGCATGCGGTGTGCAGGGTGGAGCCAGGCACCTCTGCCCAGCGCCAAGGTCTTCGGGAAGGAGACCGGATCCTGGGGGTGAATAACCATATCGTGGAACATGAAGACTCTGAGGTGGTAAGGTTGGGCTGAGACTCCCCGTGGTATAGGAGAATGTTCCATAGCAACTCAGGGAGAGAGAAGCTGGGGTCATCTCCCCAGGTATATGGGGACAGGACCCAAGCCTCAACCTCCCCCACATCCCAGGATTTAAGGGTGTCCAGATTGGAATAGTTTACTGAAGGCATCCAGAGAGCTGATTCGCATGGTGAAAAATGTTGGTTCCATTGGCAAGAGGGGCCGGCTCCAGCCTCACCGGATTTGCCTTCTGTTTAGGTGGTGCGCCGTATCCGGGCCAGTGGTCCTCGGGTGTTGCTGATGGTTTTGGCGAAGCATGTGCATGATATGGTCCGAGTTCAGCGGGGGAATGGTGCCCGTCTCTGTCCTACTCTTGGCCCAGGGGTCCGGCCACGGCTGTGCCACATAGTGAAAGATGAGGGTGGCTTTGGCTTTAGTGTCACCCACAGTAAGCTTAGAGGTTCAGGAGGGAGGTCAAGAGAGGGATCTCAGCCCTGCTTCAGGTGTCCAGCAGACTAATACTTTTTTTTTTTTTGGCTTGCAGAACATCAGGGTTCTTTCTGGTTGGTGCCGAGTACTGGAGGAGCAGCTGAGCGGGCAGGGGTGCCCCCTGGGGCCCGACTCTTAGAAGTGAATGGGGTCAGTGTGGAGAACTTCACCTAT